TCCGACTGCTGGAATGATCCTGCTGATTGTAGCTGGTGTCCTGACTCCAACGTCGATAGGCTTATGTGGATTTGCAATGAAGAGACTTGGGGAAGCAAAGAAACGTCAAAATCCGTACCAAGCTTGATAAAGTTTTTCAACTTTTTTACTGTGTATGGTTCAGTTTTTCTAAAGCTTGAAATAAAAAGTAGAATCTGAAGGGAGATAATGTAATGCAGTAGAGGGAAACGCCTTCAAATACTAAAAAATCAATGTGTACTCGATGCTGTAAAACTTCTTTTTTTCTGAGATTTTTCGACTTGCTCCCTTGAAAAGTTTCGATAACTCTTTCGAATCACATTAAACTTGACAAAAACACTTCTTTCCTCCCTTTGACGTGCTGAATCGAAGGGACACATTTTGTGAGAAATCTGAAGCTTGTTCTCCCTGGCCTTGTCAACTATCTCTTAAAAGCCGCTCGAGCGACTTTTCTAAGGCACCGCGGCATAAAGGGAGAGGAACTTGAGTGTTTGTTTACATTCGAACAAAAAGGAACTCAAACACATGCCGCGTGAGGCGGTTCGAAAATTTTGACATACAGTGTTTTAGACTCACTTTTTGATGGAGAATCAGAAAAGGTAATTTCCGAAATATAAATAAGTATCTACTTAGGGCATTCCAAAAGTAGTGAGGGAGGTACTTTATTTTCTGATAGAAAGCTTCAAAAAAATTTCTTTTTCTATTAACAGATAGAGCGTCTTTCGCTCTACTTTTGTATGCTATTTGATCACTATTCAACTAATATCAAAATAATAAAATTTCGATAAGATCTGTTTCTTTCGCATATGTGCTGGTACCCTGAATATGATATTTTCTTAACCAGTTTGATGAGTCTATTCAGCGACGTCAAAAAATTGAAAAATAAATCTTGTCGACTTTTTGTCAATTCCGACACCTGACAAACATCTACTTTTTCGTGCATCTCAAAATCTTTAGCACACGTTTCTCTTTAATCTGAGATACCCAAGATCTCTGGGTGTCTCACCGTTCGAAAATCATAAGAGAAACAAAATACAAAAAATCGTTATGGAATTTCACTCCGATAACAGAATTAGCGGGTCAAGCCGAGCAGAGAGTCATCGTTCTTTTCCATTTCTAGATAAATATGTGTCGTTATCACAATTTAACCATGAGCTCATTCAAACCTTTACCTGGAACTGAAATGAATAACGGTGATACAGATCAAAAACGTAAAAAACGTAAAATAAATTCGAATTACTAATTCAGGTACGAGTTACTGAAAATATTCGACTTTTCTACTACTTAGGGCAATCCAAAAGTAGTGAGGGAGGTACTTTATTTTCTGATAGAAAGCTTCAAAAAAATTTCCTTTTCTATTAACAGATAGAGCGTCTTTCGCTCTACTTTTCTATGCTATTTGATCACTATTCAACTAATATCATAATAATAAAATTTCGATAAGATCTGTTTCTTTCGCATATGTGCTGGTAGCATGAACATGAATGCTCGTGAGTATTTTTTGAATAACTTTTGATAGCAACAAGATAGAGAACTGCGGTTTTCGCCGTTCGAAAGAAAAAATGAAGACGCATCAAAATGTATATTACTGATTCTTTTAATATGATTTCTGAAGTGTTTTTATTCAATTTTCTAACTGTCGGAAAAAACTGTCATGAAAAAAAGCAAAAAGCAAAAAGTTGATAGAAAATCGTAGTAGAGGTTCGTCTAAAATACGTACTATCCCCAAATAATTAAATTTAAACATCTGAGTCTTTCGCAGTTTGTAGATCTTCGATTAGCGGTTTGAATGTGAGCCTGATTATTGAAAATTCACTGAAAACAATTTACAGGATAGATTTGTCCTTTCGTCAACTAAAAACCTTGCAAAAACCAGGTTAGAAAAATCAGTAACATATGGTTCGATGTGTCTTCATTTTTTCTTTCGAACGGCGAAAACCGCAGTTCTCTATCTTGTTGCTATCAAAAGTTATTCAAAAAATACTCACGAGCATTCATGTTCATGCTACCAGCACATATGCGAAAGAAACAGATCTTATCGAAATTTTATTATTATGATATTAGTTGAATATTGATCAAATAGCATAGAAAAATAGAGCGACAGACGCTCTATCTGTTCATAGAAAAAGAAATTTGTTTGAAGCTTTCTATCAGAAAATAAAGTACCTCCCTCACTACTAATTTTGTGATACGAACAATAAAGTCATTTCCGAAATCAGTATGAGATTTCCAAGAGGAGGTCGAATGAATAGTGAAGACATTTCTTTTTGACGAAGACAAGATGTTGAAATATTCATAGAAAGATGAAAATGTGATTGAAATGTAGTAAAGCTAGCTCTGACCGCTTGATTTAATATATCCTTCTGTTGAATATTAAGACTTTATATTGTATTATTATGTCGATATAGTGCGGATTCCAATAGTGAGACTTGACATCCTTCTGCAAGGGCTTTGGCGTCCTCTTCCGATATAATGCTATAACTCATATCCAGACTTGTTAATGCTGAATTTATTTTCAGTGCTTTTGCAAAAGCTTTGCCTCCCTCTTCATATATATTGTTGTGTCCAATATCGAGACTTGATAATGTTGAATTTATTTTTAATGTTTCTGCAAATGCCTTGCTACCTTCGCCCGATATACCGTTGCATACAATATTGAGACTTGTTAAAACTGAATTTATTTTGATGCTTCTGCAATGTCATCGAATGACATCGTTCTTTCGTTCATTCGTTCATCCCGGCAATACACAAAAGAAAGAGGATCAGAGAAGAAAAGACATATGCAGAAATATGCCGAGAAAAAAAATTGTATGCAACGTTATATCGGGCGAAGGTTACATTAACAAGTCTCAATATATTGGAAGAGGGTGCTAAAGCCATTGCAGAAGGACTGAAAAAAATGCCAAGCGTCTTATAAGACAGTTACATGTCTGAACCTTATTTTAGGCGATGTGTGCGTCTTATTTTTCAGACGTTTCGTGCCAAAAATTAAAACGCTACGAACATAACCTTTTAAATGAAATGTGAGAAGAACGATATAATTTATTTGATTATACTACTTGAAGAAGATACATGGCTAAGCAAATACGCTTTTGTCTTCCAGAGTGCGTGCTGTACACTTATTACATGTTCAGACTATCCTTTCACCTGAACTAAAGGCTAGAACTTAGTTGGCAAAGTGTTGGTTTAAGCTTTAATCTTGAACCAGAACGAAGTCGAGAATATAAATTCTCATTATATCATTCTGAAACTTAAACTATCACAACACAAAATCAATGCTTGCACGAAGCTAGGATCGAACATACGAACTTGATCTTTGCAGACGAACTGCAAAAATCAACTTCGTTGTTCTTTCCTATATTCTGCACAATGATTGAGAAAATGATTGAGAATGATCTGCCAAAGTGTTTGATTCTGACTTGCGGGTGATAAAGTGGAGATTTTCATTACACTGACTTGTCCATGGACAAATCTTCTACTCCAATGCGTTGTCAATGGATAAGCATAAAAAATTTTAAAAATGTTTTTCTTCACACTTTATAACTGAAGTATTATCTATTGCACATTTCGAGTATAAGTAATTTTATCTTAGGCATAAAGTAAAATAGAAGCGAAAAACAGGATGCAAAAGTAGTTTCGTCTAAGTATATCATATTATTTTCTTCACACCGTATGGATGAAGTGGGATATATTCTAAAGTTTGATTCTAAAGTTTGACGATACCAATTTTAATGTCCGCTTGTATCGTAATTCGTTGTACGAAAACAGTTTAAAATTATTATTTTGTTTTACTTCAAAGAAACGGAGTTGTTGACAGTAGTCTTTGATATCGAATAACTGACAGTATAAACCACAATTCGTTCCATCCCAGAATATTTTTGATATTTTTCCAAATTGAGGCGTCTTAGGAAAATATTCATTTGATACATTTAGAATGGAATACTTCTCATAAGTAATTCCTTTGAGCTCGATTGATTTTAATACAGCTGTAGGTTCAAATGGAAGGCCACAATGTTGAATAATATATTGAATTTGTCCGTCGTCAATTGGTTGTTTAGCGTCCATTTTTGCTTGTGGTGGTAGAGAAAGGGCTGTATGAGAATATGAGCCATCTTGATTGTGATCAACAATACATGCCCATATCTGATGACGACTACAAGGATAAGATGAGTGTAAAGGAAAATAGGCCCACAGACATGTATAAAAGCCGTATTTCTTCCACTGCGTATTTCTCAGACACTCTGTTTCTTACTGAGCTAACATTAGTGCAGGATTTTTTAAATTTCGCACTTTGTTGCCTTTGAAGTATTGATGTTTTCGTTCAGTTGCCAGGCACGAGGTATACGGTAATGGACCAAATTTTCTCATCGGTTGTGGAAAATGAGTCATAAAGCGAAATTTTGGCTTTGCTTCGCCAGGATACAGCCATTTGAACAGTCCATTGTGCCAGCAGATAAAATTTTTCAATGTTAGCCATGTATCCGATTTAATTTCTGTAGCAAAACACAAGGACAATATATCTACAACTGATAAAATCGCATCATATCTCTCGAATTTTGACGTGTGTAATAATTTCTTTAAAATAAACGGCAGATTGAAAGTGAGATAATACACTTGCATCGATGTTAATGGTAGTCTTAAGTTGCTTTGTTTGTTCAATGCGTCGGCTGTTATCTGAAGATGAGGTTTTGACTTTAGTTCGTTTTTATTATACGGAAAATTGTTTACTTGATCACAGAAGTCATCGACCGAAAATCGATCTGTTGATATACAACAGTCGAAAAATGCATTTAAATGATTTTGTAGAACTTCCTCGAGTAACGTATGCATGATATCGTATAAACATTGTTCTGTCACCTTGTACAAATTGTCGAAATATTGTCGGTTGTTGATTCCGAACTTTTTCGACAAATTTTCAAACGATGTTGGGTATTCCTTGACCAGCTCTGAATATATTCATCTAGAAAAACCCAAGTATGATGAAATGATGAGTTCAGTTTTGGTGCTAACCTCTCACGATAAACATCTTGTGAAATTTCTTCGAAATCAAAATCGAGATCCGCCTCTAGACTATCACGATGAATATCACGTAAATGACAGAAGTGAATTGCACTGGTACTTTCTTTAAAACCATTCAGTGACATTTGTGCAGGGTAATCTCCCAAAGAGAAAAACAATGCTCCATAATACGTTATATCCTGGCCGTTAACATTCACTGTGATACCTTAGAATAATAAGGGTTTTGCAGAAAAATCATTGTAACATAGCACGATTCTTACCGATTGTGGAAAGAATCTTCATGTCAGCTAGAAAACCTTGTAGTGTGTAATGTAAAGAGTCGTACGTTCTTGCCCATTTTGGACAAGCAGCGATTAAACGTTTCGCATTGTGTTTCGCACGTTTTTCTCTTGACAAATTTAACAATGACCAATAGAAAAAAAATAATGAGCTAGCTCGATGACTGATAGAATTTGTAACTGTTAGATCATCACTATTTAGTTCAATTTTGAGGTAAGTCGATTGATTAAATTGCGGATGATTTCTTCCAAATTTGCCGTCGTAAACATCTTTAATATAGTTGGGATCGTAGGGTGGCAGCTGTCGGTGAAGATCCGCATGAACTTCTGGCAACAATAAATAATTCTTTAAACTAGTTAAAAATGGAACATAAGAATATTTCACAAGTTTTTTTTTGTTTGCTGTTTAAAGTCTGGAACTTAGATTGTATAAAAAAATGATGTTAAGCATCAAGCCTATAAAAATCTTACTTCGTATTGTTTACTGATAGGAGAAATGTAATTAAAGTATTCACCGGCTTTTTTCGTACGAATATATGAGCTTTTTAGCTTATCGATCACGATAGATAACAGGGAAAGGTTCTGAAACAGAAAAGCGCTAAAAACTACGGGAGTGGGAAAAAAGTTCTAATTCATACCACATCTTGCGAAGAGGCTACTTGAATAATTCGGATAGACTATCAGCAACAAATTGAACTGCCGCTTCTGATGTGTGATATTGACTCTGCAATGTTAATAACAAATGTAACACACGTTTTTTCAATATCTCTGACGGATCTTGTTGTTGCTGTGTATTTCCGTCGTGGTTCATCTGCCAAACGGGATCCAAATCTACCATGTCCTGCTCAGCCTCTTCTTCATCTCCGTCGAATTGAGGCATTGGTTCATTTTGATTCACATTATGTTCATCCTTGTGATAAACACACCAGTGTTTTTGTAGACTACGTAAATTTTTGAACGTCGCTTTACATGAACATTGTAACACCCCATCTCTGCCGGAGTTGTGTACATTTGTGTTATGCTCGATGTAAGACGTCATCGTTTTGAACGGTATATTACAACGAAGACAGTGCACCTCACACGTACTCATCTAAAAAGCACACTGATGTTGTTTTTTTCCTCTAGATGAAAATTATTTTCCAAACAGAAGAGAAAACGACGACTATTGTGGGCACTACATATCAAGAGATTATCAACCAAATTCGTGGTATATTTCCAAAATTCGTACATCATCAGGTATTGTTCTATGATCAAGAATTAGCCGATTATTTTGACTTTTTATCGTATGAACAAATAGAAGATTGTTCAAATGGGCTGAAGATGAAATTCAAAGAAGTTTTAACTTTCACACAAGAATCA